CTGAACAGCCCTCCATTTTAAGATACGATATACTGCAGTTGCTCATTTATTCATTGTAATGTACTTAGTTTTTATTTTATTTTGTATATTTACATTTGGTGTCAATACTTGCATTTTATTTAATGCTTAATAGTGTTTCAAAAATATTTATTTTGTATAATCGTTATATTTTTGACCTTCTCTTACACCTTATTTCCTCATGTTGTTTTTGTTTGCTCCATCATACACCAAAGCAAATTCCTTGTATGTGTAAACGTACCTGGCAATAAACTTGATTCTGATTCTGATATATGAGAACAGTTGATTGTTTTCAATTAAAACCAATTATTTTATTGTTAGAAGTTGCATTTAAATGAAAACTAAAGCAGGATTCTGTCTGAACATGCAGTCCTGTCTGAGTTTGTAGCTAACGTGTGGCGTGGCTCTGGGAGGCTGCTGTGCTCGACTAAGAATAGCCTCCTTTTGCCTGCAGTCACTGTCTGAATACAGAGCCAACACCACTGCACACAGACTCCACTACACCCTGCTGGTCCCTGTGCTATTTGTAGCCCACCTTTAACTGTACTCAGAGTGGATATGTCTGTCTATCTGGGAGCAATACTTGTGTCCATCCCTCCAAATCGAGTGTGTGTGTGTGTGTGTGTGTGTGTGTGTGTGTGTGTGTGTGTGTGTGTCTCATGAAGATGTCCCTGTTCTGTCAAGTTTTATAAAGATTGAGACAATTAATGCATTTACATTCTTAATGAATATAAGCTGAGAAAAAAAATAAACTGACTCTCTTGTCGATAGGAATACATTTGATGATGCAACACTTATTTAAAGTACTTTTGATTCTTTATTTAGATACCTGTTAGTCTACAAAGTGGCCTCTAGTCTTGATTCTAGTTTTCACTGTACTACTTAAACACATTTGCTTCTTAAATAAAAAGAAAATGAGAGGAAATCAATTCCATAATTCTTTCATCAAAAAAAATTGAACATCGAAATTAACTAAAAAATCATAAATTAAAGAGTTAAGTCTGGTCTCATCTATACTTGGAAGACCCAGGTGCCATTTAGGATACCATGTTTCTACAGTGAGTTGGAAAGTCTCCCAATACTTTCAATGTTGTGGCTTTTCAGATCCAAACCCACTAGTGCATACTTAAGACATACATCTTAATAAACTTAAAAAAAGAACACTTAAAAAGGCTCAGTGCCTTCCTAAAACAGCTGGTCACTGTAGTCTTGTATCATAGCAGACAGAAGGAAATGTGATTAGGACTATTTTTAAAGTACAGTGTGTGTGAGTTCATGGTCATTCAGGAACATGTCAACCAGTAAGATGTGTTTTTTTATAGTTCTTGGACACGGTGGAACTCTATGGCACAGAGGGAAGAGATATCGGGCTTTGATGCATGTTCTTCATGAGCTTTTGTCTTATGCTCTCTCTGTAAGTGGAGGACACGCGAAGCGAAATAATTCAAACACAAAACCAATGTCCTGCGGGTCGTGTTGTAAGTGAGTCTCAAACATTGTGAGCTGAAACCAAGCAGGAGCTCGTACATCAGTGTCTGTGCACGGCAGACAGATGAGATGATTATTTTTGTGACGGGGCGTAGTGAGGCTGAGTGCGGGGCGATGCTCAGCTTAAAGCTGTGTTTGTCTGTCCGTCCCTCTCATTGTTATCCTCTAGCTTAGAGCAGGCTTGTGGCCGGGCAAGCCGCATTAGCAATGCGAGGAGCTGTACGAGCCCTGATGGTTATGTAACCCCTCCCCTCCCGCCAACACACACACAAACACACATGCATTCATGCACGCACACACACAAACAAACAAGCCCTTAAGCCTCTCTGGTCCGTAGCAGGCACACGCTAGCAAGTGTCTCTCACCCGCTTATCGTTACATCATTACTATACAGGCCTACTTTCTCCATGCAGCCCGCTCAGTGTAAAGTATACTGTCAGATGTTAAATGCAATGCAAAAAATATATGTGCAGCAAGTTACTGCCTTCAATGCATGGCTTACTTTAGTAGGCACATCTACCAAAATGTATACAATTATTTCTTTATCAGCTGAGAAATAGCTCAATTTCTTTATGTTTAGCTAACTCTCTATCAACAATTGCAAGTAAGTATTTTTTTTATTGTAAGCTTTTTCCATATAACTTTTATAACTAATAAAGCAAGTATTTATACCGTTTGAAATCTGCTGTTCATGCTATGCATGCTCATCTGTGTGCACGTCTATTAGGAAAAAGGATTATATAATGTTTGTGGTGGCTCTTTGTGATGCTCACAATATCTCAGTTGTTGACTTGTCTGTTCAGATTCTGCTGATTCTGGAGAACAATATTAATGTAGTTATTACTGTCTGTGCTTATTTCCATTATGTCTTCGGATGTAGTGAAACATTGTGTGTTACATATAGTTGGCGATACAACCAGCTCTGTAGGAGACAGGGGAAGCAATGTAAAACAATGTCTCTTCAAAACTAGACCTGGGGAATGTATGGTTTAGTAGCCACACACACACGCACACACACACACGCACACACACACACACACACACACACACACACACACACACACACACACACACACACACACACACACACACACACACACACACACACACACACACACTTCTTAAGCAACATCTGTTTGTGCATTCAGGCTGGATGTTTCAAAACACACACCCATCTTCTGAAGCNTGTGTGTGTGTGTGTGTGTGTGTGTGTGTGTGGCTACTAAACCAGACATTCCCCAGGTAAAGATAAAGTCCGTCAAAAACCACACTATACAGCCTAAAAACGTGTTATTTGTTGTCACTGCAGCCTATGTACTCATGTATAAACAAAATTCAGCATGTTCAGAAGAATAACATACCCAAATGTGTACTTTTTAAATTGTGCATACCATGATTTAAACATAAGTTGGTGAATGGATGACTTAATGATTGAAACAAAGTCCCTGTTGAGCCTAAATATTGCAGCAAGTCGCATTTATCATTTGTTCTTTTTACGTTGAGGAAAGGGAAGCAGCTGGTAAAAGGTTTGCTCTCATAATAAAACAAGAGTATGACATGAGTACTTTTTGAATTGTATAACATGTTATTAATGAATGACTTGGTCATTACAAATGTAGCTTTAATGTCTCCTTAATCTTTGAGTCATTGCTATGTATGAGATTTGTGATATCTTGTTGTTGAGACTCGACAAAAGTATACAAGGTAACGCTGCCAATCGCTGCTTTGAAATGTGGACTTCTGCTTTCTACCTTGAAACAATATCTGTCAGGTTTCATGATCAGGAAGTGAGGGCTGTCTGCTAAACAAAACTGCATTGTTTGTTGATTCTTTGAACAACAAGGCACCAAAGGTTTGGATGTGTTGATCTACGAGGATCAGGTTACTGTATCATTTTAATGCAATAGACATTAATGTTGCAGGAGGAAGCATCGATCCACACAGTAATCATAATAACACCAAGGTTGTAGTGATGACATTGCACTTAGCTCTGGTATATTCAGCATTTTTTACTATCAGAGTGCTGTGGCTCCACACATGATATTATAAGCACTATTTAAGTTAATCTCCCAGGTTGCTGTGAGTCACTGTTTGATGCATTGTTGATATTGATGTTGGTGATTTTTAAGCTTCTCTTGATCAAATCAAAATGACGGATGGAGTTTTGTTGAATGTAAAATGTGAAACACTGAGTGATGGAGGAGAATACAGTTAGTGTCTTTACTGGAAGTTAAAGCAATGATGGATAAAAGACACTGGAAGACAATAACCTACTCTCTCACTGGTTTTCACTTATAGTGAACAAGACTGCTGAGTAAGTTCTTACCCAAGAGGTAATAGTGTTTTTAAAATGTAGAACTCAATAACAATACAATAAACACAATAAATGGTGTGTATGAAGAAGTATAACCCAACTGTTTATTGATGGTTTAACACTGGATTTGTTAGTGAGTGGTACACTGTGGTCATAAAGGGATGGACATGGTCAGCAACAATACTCAGGTCGGCTGTGTTGTTTAAAACATGCTCAACTGGGACTAGTGGCACAAAGTATGCCAAGAAAATATCCCCCACACCTTTATACCAGCCTGAACCGTTGGATGGATCCATGCTTTCATGTTGTTTGCGCCAAATTCTGACCCTACCGTCCGAATGTCGCAGCAGAAATCGAGACTCATCACACCAGGCAACATTTTTCCAATCTTCTAGGGTCCAGTCTTGGGGGGCCCGTGTGAATTGTAGACTGAGTTTCCTGTTCTTAGCTGACAGAATTTGCACCCGGTGTGGTCTTCTGCTGCTGTAGCCCATCTGCTTCAAGGTTTCCTGTGTTGTGCGTTCAGAGAGGGTCTTCTGCATACCTTGGTTGAAACTCGTGGTTATTTGAGTTACTGTTGCCTTTCTATCATCTTGAACCAGTCCATTCCCCTCTGACCTCTGGCATCAACAAGGCATTTTCTCCCAGAGAACTGCTGCACACTGGATATTTTCCCTTTTTCGGATCATTCTCTGTAAACCTTAGAGATGGTTGTGCATGATAATCCCAGTAGATCAGCAGTTTCTGAAACAGACCAGCCCGTCTGGCCCTTAAATCACCTTTTCTTCCCAATTCTGATGCTCTGTTTGAACTTCACCAGGTCGTCTTGACCATGTCTAAAGGCATTGAGTTGCTGCCATGTGATTGGCTGATTCAGATATTTGCATTAATGGGCGATTGAACATGTGTACACAATAAAGCAGCCAGTGAGTGTATTATAGCTCTTTTCTTCCTGGCAAAAAAAGGTTGATCCTGATTAAGTCAAATTATATCCAAAAGTTTAAAAGCATTAATGGTGTTGTGTGTACTTTATACAGTATCAACAGCACCTTTGCTCATTCTCACCTCATGTCAATATGAATCTTATAAGAAATGCATATGATAAATTGAATCATTCTCCTGCACATTTTTTATAAAAATAAAATAATGTAACTATGTTGTATTTGTGTCTCTTCTGCAGCACTACTTCCTGGTGGTTTTTGGCCACGATGGACAGAAACCTCTGGAGCTGCGGACGGAGGAAGAGTCCGACTGCAACGAGTGGGTGGAGTCTGTGCAGCAGGCCAGGTAAAAGACTAAATAAAGAATTTCACTAAGGTTTAATGTTATAGTGGTGTACTTTTATTCAGTAGTGTAATTGATTTTGAACAACATATTGTATTTTACCTCAAGATGCAACAATAGTAAAAAGCTTAAAATTCCAGTACTAACAAACTAATAATAAAAGAATCAGACATCAGTAACTGGCAACATTTTAATGCAGAACCAGCACTTTACCTGTAATGGAGTATGTTATGTTATGATATTAATACTTTTACTAAGGTAAAGGATCTGAATACTTCATCCACCATGGTCATCTCCTTACAAATGAAATGTTTTTCATCACAACACACAGTTATTCTTTATCTTTCATGACATAAGGTGTTGAATAACTCTCAGTTTTTCTACTCTCTGCTTGGATTTTGTGCTGATGCACGTTTGACATAACGACCACGTGTTATTCCATAGTTGTTTAACATCTAAGAGTGTGTGTGGTGTGTGTGTGTGTGAACGTGGACGTGTTCTGCTCGCAGCGGTTCACATTTAGATCACACTGGTGCTGTATGGCTACACCGGTTACATCACAGAGCTGATCTAGCCACTCGACCTCTAGTCCTCTCTTTTCACTCTGTTTATTTCTCTATGTGAACATTCAGGAGGAAATATAAAGCAAACCAGCTTTATTTCATATTTCAGGAAGACATATCACACATAATGTCAGGTGGTTACTTTTTGACAGAGAGAAGAAGTTCTCAGATACCTAAAAGTAAATAAAAAATATAAATAAAGGCATTAAACTCTTGTCTAAAAATACTCAACATAAAAGTCTAATGGATTTTTGGTAGCCTATCAGAAGTAAAAGTACTCATTGCTCAGAATTGCTCCTTTCATAGTATATCATTATCATAGAACAATATTCCGTTTTTTTTACTAACACCTTGAGTAAAAGTATAACGTTTCTTACATTTATAAAAACACTCAAGTAAAGTACACTTAGGTCAACATTTTACTTGCTTAAGTACAGTATTTAGGTAAAAAATACTATATAACATATACAAACATGCATTCAAAGTACAGTACTTGATTACGTAAGTGTTTTTATTCATATCTTAGTATAATCAGCAAAATGCACTTCATCATATCAAAAGTACTCATAATGCAGAATGTGTCCTTTGGCCTTTTCGTTATTATAAAATATTATAATATTTTAAGAGCCAATTTGAGGCATATTATACACGTATATTTATATATATATTTATTTTAAATAACTAAGTGTTAAGTACATTTAGAGTAGTAAAGAGTTCAATCATTCCCTCTGAATTTGATTGGAGTAAGAGTATTGGGTAAAAGAAAATGTAAATACAATTCCAGTTTGTTATAAACATGATGAATCTCTTGGTTTGTTTTATTTATCTCACACAAGTCTCGTTTCCCCACTTGCTTGCTGTAGTTACTCCGACATCATCATCGAGCGTGAGATCCTGATGCAGAAGTACATCCACCTGGTGCAGATCATGGAGACGGAGAAGATCGCAGCCAATCAGCTCCGCACTCAGCTGGAGGACCAGGACACGGAGATCGAGAGGCTCAAAGCTGAGGTATGCATGAGTGCATCCACATCTGCGTGTGCATGCATACATAAACACACACACACACACACACACACACACACACACACACACACACACACACACACACACACACACACACACACACACACACACACATGCATGTGCTCAGACACTCGGATGCAGATCTGGCATGCATGATGGGAAAACACTTGAGTTTGGAGCGCATGTGTCTCTTAAATGTAAACACAGCAGGGCTCCAGTGATTCCCAGAACATTACTTCCTCATCATGCATCGAAATATTTGTTGTTTTCAGCCTCTAAAGCTGTTTCATGAATGTTTTAACCTCTGGGCCCGTGTATTCACATGGAGACTGTTGTTGCCAGATTGTTATGATGAACAAAACCAAGGAGAGGATGCTGCCTTACCACAACAACCAAGAGGAGGAAGACCCAGATATTAAAAAGATCAAAAAGGTACATTGATGGTTTCTAGTGCTGGAATGCAGTTTCCACAATGCCTTCCCTCAACTACTGAACTTAAGTTTATATTCAAGGTTGTTTGCTTGTTTATTTCCATTTAATACAACAGAGAGAAATGTTTTGAGTTCTACTCTACTTCATTATCTGAGCTTTAGATAGTTAACAGAATAATGTTTTATACCCTTCCTGTCCAGTGTTAACCATGTATCTCCAGATGTGTTCATCTTTATTGCAATATTCTGAAGAACTAAATATTCCTTAATTCTTCTACTTTTTAAGCAAAATAAACTATTTGAAAACCTATTTAAAAAATCAGCTCTGTTATGATCTCATAAAGACATTTTACTTTAAAGGTCGTTCTCACAAGACAGCAACACCACAAACATATGATGATTGTATAGAATATGATAAATTGCCATAGATGTAACCATCTATAAGTATAGAAAGGCATTCAAAATAGCACAACCTTTACAATGTTAAGCATTAAAATATAACATACACACAAGTGCAGAAGTAATATCTATCAAAAAATATTATAAACGATAGTTAAATACTGCACAATTGCCCCTTTATGTACATCTTGCTTACACATACTTTACTTAAGTAAGGTTTTGAATGCAATACTTTTACTTGTCGTGGAGATTTTTAACAGTGTGGTTTTATGTCCTTCACTAAAGCAAAGGATCTAAATACTTCTGCCACCTTTGTTAACTACAAAAAATAACGAAGGCAGGAGAACAAAAATGGATCTTATTGTGCTGTGGCTGTGCAGGTTCAGAGCTTCATGCGAGGCTGGCTGTGTCGGAGGAAGTGGAAGATCATCGTCCAGGACTACATCTCCTCCCCTCACGCTGAGAGCATGAGGAAGAGGAACCAGATCGTCTTCAACATGGTGGAGGCAGAGACAGAGTACGTCCACCAGCTCTCCATCCTCGTCAACTGTTTCCTGCGGCCGCTCCGCATGGCGGCCAGCTCCAAGAAACCTCCCATCAACCACGATAACGTCAGCACCATCTTCCTAAACAGGTATCTTATTATAATTGACTGTTAATTTGAAGTGAATGCTATCTGTAATAGTTGATAGTTACAATAAGGATCTCTCCCTCTGTAGTGAGACCATCATGTTTCTGCACGAGATCTTCCATCAAGGTCTGAATGCTCGGATCGCCAACTGGCCCACTCTAGTTCTTGGTGAGTCCTGCGCTACACTTTTGGCTGATTGAATTACAATTTGCATATGCATTACGTCCCTACAAACCCTTTTGACATCACTGATTTCCAAACTTGCTGTATCCACTTCCCTGCAGTATGAAAAAAAAAACATTTGAAAAACATTTGACATATTTATCACATTTATCATCTCACATCTGAAGAAATCCCCCAAATAATAACAGAAATGATAAAAACTTTACTGTTTTCTGTGGTGGATAAAGTAACAAAGAAAATCAGTTTAAACCATTTTGTCCTGTTAAAAGCTGCTTACTTTATGATTATTATGATTTTCTATCTCAAAGTTAATATTTGAGTTGTTTGTTTTTCGCGCGCAGCGGACCTGTTTGACATCTTGCTGCCGATGCTGAACATCTACCAGGAGTTTGTGCGTAACCACCAGTACAGCCTGCAGGTTCTGGCTAACTGTAAGCAGAACAGAGACTTCGACAAGCTGCTCAAACAGTACGAGTCCAACGCTGCCTGTGAGGGCCGCATGCTGGAGACCTTCCTCACCTACCCCATGTTCCAGGTGAGCTAGTGCACACTACATAGTACGTTTACTCATGTACAATACGCAAGTACACATTGAGGTTCTTTTACTTGAGTAATTCATGCATCTTTATACTTTTACATCACTTTTGAATTAATATATTCTTAATTTATCAGTCAAGTAGTTTTGAGTCAACTACAGCGTTAGATATTTTCAGATTTATATTTTTCTTTCCGGATAACGCAGCGTCTCTTCAAATGTGTGGATTTTGAATGGCATGAAAATGAGTGCATCTAATTTAAATTAACTTTTTTAAAACCATCTTCAATCGGCTTGCAAATACATCGCCGCAAAGCTGAAAACCTGGCGTTTTTTTCTGAGCTAACAGGACAACGTACACATTATTGTAACAGTAACATTAATCCCAAAACATAAAATATAAAGACCTGAAACAATGACAGGCAACATGTGATTGCCTTCTTTTACTTTTCGTGCTCTATATACTTTCTGTTAAATATTAACACATTACTTTTCACTGATTCAAACACCCTCTTATATACGATGTTCAAAAAGCAGCTTTCACTTTTTATCGTCGTCGATTGAGAAAAAGCTGACGAAGACAATTGTTGTGTGTATTTCAGATTCCACGGTACATCATCACTCTTCATGAGCTGCTGGCTCACACACCTCATGAGCATGTGGAGCGAAAGAGTCTGGAGTTTGCCAAATCCAAGCTGGAGGAGCTGTCGAAGTGAGTGTCAGAACATCACGCAGATAACAATAGTGATGGATGGTAATTGGTGATGATGATGATGATGATTCGTGTGTTGTCAGGATGATGCACGATGAGGTGAGCGACACTGAGAACATCAGGAAGAATCTGGCCATAGAGAGGATGATTGTAGAGGGCTGTGACATCCTTTTAGACACCAGTCAGACTTTTGTCAGACAAGGTGAGCTTCTTCTACAGCACCTGTTGTAAAAAAACAGCATTTTATTCCACCACCTTCCTCTCACTCCCGTCTGTCTCCATGAACAGGCTCTCTCATCCAGCTGCCGTCCAGCAGCGAGCGGGGGATGCTCAGTAAAGTCCGCCTGGGCTCCCTCTCTCTGAGGAAGGAAGGAGAGCGCCAGTGTTTCCTCTTCACCAAACACTTCCTCATCTGTACACGAACATCTGGAGGAAAGCTTCACCTGCTGAAGGTCAGCCTCATCTGTCTGGATATATTTATCCAAACATGGTTGAAGTTATAGTTTACTACTTTGAAATCACTTTGATTGTCTTCTAAAACTAGTGAAACCACTTCCTGGTGAGATTGTATTTCAGTGCAAATCAAATAATTAATTTGCATTGTAACATCTTCTCTCCCCCAACAGCAAGGAGGCACGTTGTCTCTGATAGAGTGCACCCTAATTGAAGAACTAGAGGCCAATGACGAGGACTGTGAGTATCCTTCATACCAAACCATTTGTTGTTTCTTTTTTTAACGTTGTTTGTTGTTAACTGAGGCTTGGACCTTTTGATGCAGACAATGCAGCAGGTCAAGGCTTCAACCACCTGGAGTTTAAGGTCGTGGTGGAGCCTCCTGACGGTCAGGCCTTCTCTGTCGTCCTCTTGGCTCCTTCACGCCAAGAAAAGGCCGCCTGGACCAGCGATATCAGCCAGGTATGTCTGACTGTTTTAAAGCTGGTAGCCATCTCTCAAATGCTAGATAAAAGAGGACCAAAGTGTCTACTAACCTTTGTTTCAGTGCATCGATAATATCCGATGTAACGGCCTGATGACCAGCGTCTTTGAGGAGAACTCCAAAGTATCGGTGCCGCACATGATCAAGTAAGAAAAAAGGGAATTCTGATGGTCTAAGAAACATATACAACATGAAGAAGCTTACAATTAGAAGCAGTGACAATTACACAGCTCAATCATCTCTATGTATTTGAGCCCCTTCAAAAGTTTACATTACAAATATATGACTCACTAAGGTTCCAAATGTGGATGAATCCACTGCGGAAATGCATTATACCTTCCTTTTTGTGTAAAATTTGCTAAAAAGCTGTTTTATGTAATGACTGAGCCTTTTTTTTTTTTTTTAAAGGAACCCATTTGTATGAGAGTTATCTTTCAAGTAGAGTTGAGTTTAAAGTAGAGCTGATTTTAAGAATGTCCTCATCCTTTTGACTTTACTTTTTTTTGTTGCCAAGATCCGATGCCCGCCTGCATAAAGACGACATCGACATCTGCTTCAGTAAGACCCTGAACTCCTGTAAGGTCCCTCAGATCCGGTATGCCAGCGTGGAGCGGCTGCTGGAGCGACTCACTGACCTGCGCTTCCTCTCCATCGACTTCCTGAACACCTTCCTCCACACCTACAGGATCTTCACCACGGCGGCCGTCGTCATCGACAAGCTGGCCGACATCTACAGGAAGCCGTTCACCTCCATACCCGTCAGGTACATAACACCGTGTCAAGCTGTAACACCTGCACATACTGTAGGCTACTAAATACATTTAAGTACTGTACTGAATTACTAAATTACTGAACCAGTACACCATGCAACAAAGTTTGTTCTTGTAAAATCTAATTGTTTCATGGTTCCAGATTTACAAATGCAAATAAATCCTTCGTTTTAGTAATTGTACTGTATTTATAATAACAAGGTTTAAGGTTTAAGGTTTATTAAGAAACATTTTCACGGTGTCACAGAATTTCTCATCTTTTCACAAACCAAATGGTAAATTGATTAATTGAGAAAATAAGCAGCATCCATATTGAAATAAAGATAATTTAAGATAAACCTTTATTAATCCAGGAAATCCGACAAGTACATGCTTTTTCTCAAGAAGTATTTTAATGCAGGACTTTTGCTTGCTGTAAACTGTTAATAGTACTTTAAATTACGTTAAACCATTTTAAATACTTCCTCCATACTTCCTCCACCGCAGCATCACTGTGTTAATTTGTTTGCACACATTCATCCATCCTCATTGTCCTTCCCTCTCCTCTCATGTAACGGACTCATCCTGCAGTGCAGTCACTCCATCTCCATGTTGTTCTTCATCCTCCTCATTATTCACCTCCTTTCTTCATCTATCTCTCTGCCATACTCTTCCTCTTCCTGTCACTGTCCCAGGATCGAGCGGCTTTCATGTGACCGTCTGTCCATCATGTCCCTCTGTCCTGACTACAGTCTGAAGATCACACAGCTGGCCCTGGACCAGTCCAAGTAAAGCCCATCAGTAGAGAGAGAGCTCAGTCTGCGTTTTTCAGGGACACATCTACAGATCCTCTCTCTTTGTCTCTCAGGTCTCTGGAGCTCTTCTTCGCCACCAACCAGGGCTCATGGGGGACGGACCCTCTGAACAACAAATCCCCGAGGCTGATCCGCAAGTTTTCCTCTCCTCCGCCCCTCACCCTCTCCTCCCGCACCTCCTCCCCCGTCCACTGCCGCAAGCTCTCCCTCAATTGCCCCATCAGTGGAAAACCAGGAGTCTTGGATGTGTCCCCCACCTCTTCTGCAGCCAACTCCCCCACCTTCAGTCACTGCCCCTCCATCTCCTCCCCTCCTCCCAACTCACCCAGGCCTACCTCTGGCTTTTTCTCCTCTCTGCCCACCGCCCCGCGCTCTCCCAGCCTCCCCCATGCCTCTGGAGTTTCCTCCCCGCCCCCCACCTCCACCAAGGCCCCCGTGGACTTCAGCCGCGGTCCCGGGTCCCCAGAGCCGAGCCCAGCTGCCGGGGAGGACGTCAGCGGAGAGCTGCCTCGCTTAGACGCCTTCTGTGGGAAGCTGAGGCGCAGCATCCGCAGGGGTGTGTAGCTGGAGCACAAAGCATATGGTTCACACTCTGCAGTCTCATGTGAAAATCAGGCACACAACTGTTCCAGAAATATGGTTTAGAAACAGGTAAAAGCAGAGTTTAGGTGGCTTTGCGATCTAGTGCAAATAGAGGGACACAGAAATGGGTCACTGTTACCCAACGGAGGAATAATCGTGCTCTTGGATCACCATCTGGCTCCAGCAGACAGCTTATTCACTATAAAAGCAGCGGCAGAGCACCAGGTCAGAAAATGTCTGACAACAAATTAGGAGGAGAGAAAGAAATGAAGAGATAAACTTAGCTCTTACGTGGCAGCTGGAGTGTCTCCTAAGAGGAAAATGACGTATTGAATGGACGAGCCCTCAAACAAAACCCAAAATACCTCAGATTCCAAGTAGGCCAAAAATAGACATGAGCCAGAGCCTGTTTAAAGTTATATTGTTGAGTTGTTTTTTGTATCCACTCTACTGTAATTTCTCACTTGTACCAAACCATGTTTAGAATAAGAATGAAGTATTGTAACATCATGTTGCAAATGTTTGAGCTCTCTCTTTCCTTTACCGTAAAAGTTGTCCTGGAGTCAGTTTCTATGGACAAGTTTCTCCCTGAAACACCGGCCAGCAGCGAGCCGGGCGACATGTCTCCTTGCCGCTCGCCTTCAACACCGAGACACCTCCGCTTCAGACAGTCAGGAGGTACGACCAGTACAAACACACACAGACACACACTTATTGTATTCCCTTGTGTTTCTAATGTCAGTTATTCCCTGCAGTCACTCCCGGGGATAACTCACGCTGCCCGTTGTCGCCAGCTTCAGCGTTTGCAATCGCCACAGCTGCTGCGGGCCATAGCAGCACCCAGAGTGAGTACAGCAAGTCATTAAGGTCAAAAGATACACAACAGAGGAAGGTCGTCTGTGGTGGAAAGTGACTAAGTTCATTTATTTAGAACTGCACGTTGTTTAGAAATGCAATTTGAGATACTTGACAATTTCCACTTTCTGCTACTTTAAACTTCCACTCCACTATATCTCATAGACACATATTGTACTTTTTACTCCACTAAATGTATTCGATAATATATTTTTTGAAATGAGCCATTTTGCATAGTGAGTACTTTTGGTACCTTTATCATATTTTGATATTGCTATACTTTTATATGTAACTATTGAATGCAGGACTACATGTAACATAGAGTTTTTCTATACTGTTGTATAGCTACTTTTACTTATGTGTAAGTTTTTTTACTATCACTTTAGGAGTAGTAATTTCACCACTTTTCTTTAGACTTGAAACTCCACATATCACAATGAAGTCTGTTAACAGGGAGCTAAATAGCAATACTGACCTTGGACTTTTAAAATGGTTGCCCTTATCTTTACCCCTCGTAGGTTTTATTAATTCTGACAAAGTCTGTGACAAGGAATTCATCATCCGGAGAGCTGCGACCAACAGAGTTCTCAACGTGCTGCGACACTGGATTTCCAAGCACTCTCAGGTGAGTCCACAAAAACAAAAAGCCTTTACATGCGTCCAAAAGATCCAAACACTTTGAGCCAGCCCACCTGAAAGAGTCTGTTGTTGTTTCTGTTATCATTGCCATCAGGCCTACCCCCCTCTGTGTGTGTGTCCTCACCTGTCAGTATTTCCCCGATGGAGGTGCTCTTTGCTCTGCGTGTCCTCCTCCCACCCATGAGGCGAGCAGAAAGGTCAACCTCCTCCCCTGGGACACTAAAACAACTATCACTTTCTGTCAAGATTATATAAGATGCTATTTTTGTACCTGCATGTTTGTAGCCTGAAAAGTGAACATTTATAATGTATTAAGTGGTCCTTTTAATAAACACAGTTCTGGGTCCATGTGGGCAATATCAGTCTGTGTGCTATGACCTTAAGTTTCACCACAGAACATCACTTTGTAAAGAAACAAAACCATTTACTTAGGAAAAACGTAACTTCATTTTTTATCAAACTGCTAAACGCAACCACAGTTTTTTTAACGCAGCTCTTTCCCTTGCCAAATAAGTGTGAACATGATTTTAAGACTGTTAATGATTTCTTTTTTTTCCTTTTCTTTTCTGTCTGGGATTAAGTAAAAATACACCAATAGATGTGAATTTCCATCTAGACTAGAAGGCATCCTTCTCATGTCTGCTGCTACATTAAGAGGCAGTTGGGATTTGAATGCACTTTAATACAATGAAATCAGTTTGATGTGCTTTTCAAAAGTGCCATGATTTTCCTTGATTCTTGGAGACTCTAATTACTATATTTTTTGTTTTTTTGTTTGTTAGTTTGTTGTTTTTTCTCTGGTTATAGTATACAGTGTACATTTTAGTTTTGCAGGACTCCCTGGCAGAGGAGATATTATATCTCAATGAGACTTTTATGGTTAAAATATTAAACTGTTTTCTAAATAAACTTTGAGTGTGTGTCATGTTGATTATAACGCAGATATGGTTACATTCAAGCAAAATGTCTTTGAATAATCATAACATGGATATCATAGACAACATTTTACATTGTTGACCTGAATCTGCTCAAGTAAGTATTTCTGCAAACATGCAATACCCAAATATTATCTGTAGCTGTAACTTAGTACTAAATCTGTATAAATGTGTTCTCCATCAGGACTTTGAAATGAACATTGGGCTGAAGATGGGGGTGATCAATCTGCTGGAGGAGGTGCTACGAGACCCTGACCTGCTGCCTCAGGAGAGAAAAGCAACATCAAACATTTTAAGGTACAAAGTCAGCAAGGTGTTATAAAATTGAAAAAATTGCTTTTTTGTGATTCACGTATTATCTATCTACATATAATGCCAGCATAATGAAAAGAACATATATTAAAACTGAAGAAAATGTAGTGCAGTACATCTGCAGTTTATGCGATGTGTCAATGTGCATAACAGTGTCTGTTTTGTTCTTCAGTGCACTTTCTCAAGAAGAACAAGATGATGCTCAGCTAAAGATAGAGGACATATTACAGATGGTCAGTATGAACACCTATTAGGAGCACAATGTATTAATATACTTAATCATAAGTGCATTTTAAGCCATTTTTGAAATAATTTATCTCCAGAAAAGCTGTCCCCTACTACACTTCATTGTGGTAAGAATAATGATAATGTATAATCATCAGAGGTGGGGGACTCGAGTCGCATATTTTTGGACTTGAGACTTGAGACAGTTACCGGAGCGGCAAGTAGGAAGTGGAGCACACAGGAAACAACCGTTTCATTGCAGACTGTAATGTTTATGTTGGGAAATGGCAGTGCATACATTATTTTAGATATATTTCTAACTCAGACTCTCATTCACTTCATGAAATTGCTACAGCACCAGGAGGCAGCGGGACATGTAACTCCGCCTCTGAGAAGTGCAGCACCAGCGCGCAAAGAGCTGTGTCTTTTACGCAACGCTTGCACTGTGTTTACTTTCATTAGAACGGCTAAAGAGCGACCGCAGGCTGCTACGTTTTAACCACGCACACCTCTACACACATCGAACTGCCCGATTAGTCCCCCTATTACTCGTTTTATGAAGGAGATGTCCAGTCACTAAGGAGCATGATGTGTCTGTGTTTGTGCTCTGCTCAGCTCTGCTCTGTGTGTGTGTGTTTGGTGAGTTTGTGTGTGTCCGACAACGGCATTTGTTTTCAAATGACCATGAACAGTAATTTACACACATCTGGCCAACTCCATATGTACAGTATATGTGGGTGTTCCCAAATGAAATAAATGTGTTTAATCTTAATGTCGCACTGTCTGCACACAAACACACATATCATGCGCCCTGGTACACTATTCCGNTGGGGCCATCTAATAGATACTTTTTACACAAACATATTTACCAATTGACCAATCATTATGGCGCAATAAGGCTTTCTGTCCATCGCGACCAATGCCCAGACGCAGCCGCTCCTGGCAGCTTGGGCCTCTCACAGTGGGCCGTTACTCGTGAAAGCAGGCTTCAGGAGGCTATTCAGCTATAGCACACGAATCTCTTCTAGCAGCCGCATGGCCTCATACGGCGAACCTCTCAGTATCATATAACCTCTTTGCTTCGTTTTCCTTCTTACTCACAAGACGGTTAGTTGTTTACTAGTTTTGTAGACTAAAACAGGAACATGCTACAGACCTCGTCATCGGTATGCGACTCGTCACCACGCATCGATCATCTTGCGAGGGTTGTTGAGCGGCTGGAGACCGTCAGCTTACCCCAGAGAGCCTGCAACTGAACTGCAGAGAACACACTGTCAAATATTATCCAGCATTCTGATGAGGATCTATACATCACGTACTATAGAGGGAGATCATGATTATGGCCTATTACCATTGCTTAAGTTGAATAACTCAATTCTGAATAGGGCAGACGAAATAGCAGACAAGGTAGCTCTAATCAAGGAACCATGTGGCAGTCATAATCAATGCGCAGAAAGGAAGTCCAGTCATTAAGCGCGATGGTAGGCAGTAGAACATGGTCTCATTTGATTTAGCGAAAGCATTGCAATGATTTTTAATGAATATTGTTAGTCAATCATTGTTTATTCAGGTAGGTAGCAGAGGGGGGGGACTCGAGTCACATGTTTTTGGAACTTGAGACTGGCTTGACTAACATTGATAAAAGACTTGACTTGAATTCATAGACTTGACAGGACTTTTACTTTTTAAAATTAAATATTTGTATTTGTTTTGTGTATTGTAGGGTATGGAAGCCCATTTTCCGCACACTTATAAAAATAAAATCCCCATGTAAAGTCATAATGAGATAAAAAGTCCATAAATTATGAGATAAAAAAGTCGAAATTATGAGATAAAAAGTCATAATTATGAGATAAAAAGTTGAAATAATGAGATGAAAAGTCATAATTATGAGATAAAAAGTCGAAATAATGAGATAAAAAGTCGAAATAATGAGATGACTTTTTTATCTCATAATTATGACTTTTCAATGGGGATTTTATTTTTTTCAAGTGGCGGAAATGGGCTTCCATAGTAGGGAGCCCCTAAAGGGCAATGAAAAAAGAAAAAGACACTGTATCTCGTTCGCAAGAGAAAGCGCCAAGTAGGAAGTGGAGCACACAGGAGACAACCGTTTCATTACAGACTGTAATGTTTATGTTGGGAAATGGCAGTGCATACATTATTTTAGATATATTTCTAACCCTATGGGCTCAGAACAGTCTCATAATACACACATGCACACAGAAGGATTTACACTTGTGTTTCCGGATCCACACTTGTGTTTTTCAATGCACACACAAATGTGTTCCGTTTCATATACATGTAAATGAAATCCAAATACAGAAAAAAGTTTTACATATGTATTTTTGATCCACACATATTTGTTTTCCGTTTAAAACCTCTGAACCTGCAAACACAAACCGCTTTCTGTGCACGGATCGCTGTGCATTCGTGTGTGGGTTTTTGAGACTCCCCTGACGGTCAGCCGATTTGTACTTGTAATTTCTCTCATCTATAGCCAATCAGATGTCTCCTCCAGTCTAAGCCAATCACATGAGCGCGCCCTCACAAGGGTATGATTTCTTGCGTTCATGACACTTCATATACGCATTTTGCACTGTCCGGTCAGCTCGCTAAACAGAGGGCGGAGCATCCAGGTGATCATGCAGGAGCCTACGTCTCTCCGTCAGACTCAGCAGCCCTGATCTGATCTCTCTCTCTCGCGTCCGGTTATACTTCAACTTGCGTTTATGTCCATACCGATCCAGATCCAGCGCTTCCTCCTGATCGGCCTTTGTAGGAGCAGCACCGATCAACACTGATTAAGCGAGTGAATATCGGCCGATAATGAC